TGAAGATATAAGGGGGGGTATTGGGGGTAGAGGGGTAGGAATTGGAGGGATTAGGGCTATAAGAGAAGGTATTGGGGGATAGAAGCAGATATTGAGGGATAGGGGCAGATATTGGGGTTTAAGGGTTGATATTTGGGGTATAGGGGCAGGTATTGGGGGCATAAGGGAAGGTATTGGGGATATTAAGGGCAGATGCTGGGGGTATAGGGGCAGATATTTGGGGTATAAGGGAAGGTATTGGGGTATAGGGGCAGGTATTGGGGGTTTTAAGGGAAGGTATTGGGGGTGTAGGAGGAGATACGGGGGCTGCGAGGCAGATATTGGGGACTGGGTGGGCTATAGGGCCGATATTGGGGGTGCATAAGGGAAGGTATTGGGGATATTAAGGGCAGATGCTGGGGGTATAGGGGCAGATATTTGGGGTATAAGGGAAGGTATTGGGGTATAGGGGCAGGTATTGGGGGTTTTAAGGGAAGGTATTGGGGGTGTAGGAGGAGATACGGGGGCTGCGAGGCAGATATTGGGGACTGGGTGGGCTATAGGGCCGATATTGGGGGTGTGGGGTGGCTTTTGGGGCTCTGGGGCAGTTTGGGGGGGCTCTGGGGCAGTTTTGGGGCTGATTTTCCCCCCCCCAATACCGAATTTGCCCCCCTCAGGTGTCGGTGGAGAACGGGGACGCCCCCAGCCCTGAGAAGAATGGGCCCCTGCCCTCGGGTGAGTGGGGCTGGGAGGGATCCACTGGATCCCTGGGGACCCTGTAGATCCCCTGTGGGTCCTATAGACCCTTACAGATCCCTTCTAGACCCTGCAGATTCCTATAGATCCCCTATGGCTGCTATGGATCCCACGTGAGCACAGGAGGGTAAAGAGATCCAGTGGATCCCCTGGGAGGTGCTGTGCCATATGGATCTGTAGGGTTTATGTCGGATCCTATAGGAGTCCAGGGATCCAGTATGAGCCCAGGGGATGCTGTGGAAGCCATTGGATCCCATGTGGGTCCTATAGATCTCATAATGAGCCCTATAGATCCCATGTGGTCCGAGGACCCAGTGGATCCCATGTGAGTGCAGGGGGCACTGGGAGGCCCTATAGATCCCATAACGGGCCCTGTAGATCCCATATGGGCCCTATAGATTCCATGTGGTCCAGGGACCCACTGGATCCCATAGCAGCCCCAGGGACCCCATAGGGCCACAGTAGGACCCTATGGGTCCCCTATGTCCCTTATGGGCCTGCTATGGGTCCCATATGGGTCCTCTATGTCCCTTTTGGGTCCCTTATGGGTCCCCTATACCCCATATGGATCCTGTATGGGTCCCGTATGGGTCCTTTATGGGTTCCCTATGCCCCTTATGGGTCCCATAGGGGTCCCCTATGTCCTGTATGGGTCTCGTATGGGTCCCATAGGGGTCCCCTGTGCCCCGTATGGGTCCCTTACAGGTCCTTTGGGTCCCTTATGGGTCCCCTATGCCCCATATGGGTCCCTTACGGGTCCCCTATGTCCCTTTTGGGTCCCTTACAGGTCCCCTATGCCCCTTTTGAGTCCCATATGGGTCCATTATGCCCCTTTTGGGTCCCTTACGGGTCCCCTATGTCCCTTTTGGGTCCCTTACAGGTCCCCTATGCCCCTTTTGAGTCCCATATGGGTCCATTATGCCCCTTTTGGGTCCCTTACGGGTCCCCTGTGCCCCATATGGGTCTTTTATGGGTCCCCTATGCCCCGTATGGGTCCCTTACGGGTCCCCTATGCCCCATATGGGTCCTTTATGGGTCTCCCTATGTCCCTTATGGGTCCCTTACGGGCCCCATGT